TCGGTCTCAGGCCGTTTTCACTAAGGGGAGATTTACTAAAGGGAGGTCTGTCCACCGCCGATGTAAGCAGGTGCCACCGTGGGTTGGCTTGCAAGGGCGTGGCTTGCAAGTGGGTGGCACATGCCCTTAGCGGCTTCGGGTGGGCCACCTATTTCCGTTGAGTGGGCGGAGCCCACTCAGCCCGCAGATTCGAGCCCCCGATGCCCCTTAGGGCAGCTGTAACCCATTTATCAGCCAGGCGGTCCGAGGCCTCCCAGATGGGGCAGTAGATGGGGTCGGAGGATCGCGCCGCAGCGCCGATGCATTGCCGATGCGGCTCGATGTGGGGCCCGATTTGCTTCACGCCGACGTCGCCGATGCATCCCCGACGTCGACGGCGCATCGCCGATGCATTGCCGACGTATCGGCGATGCGGCGCGACCCTCCGACCCCAGGTGCTCCGACCCCATCTGGGAGGCCTCCTAGGCAGGCCAGGTGCAGCCCGCCTCGGCATCCGCTCGATGAACCGTGCATCCACTCGGCAACACCCCCATGGTTATGATGTTCCAGCCGACTTCAGCCTTGATCACCAGAAAGAATTTCGAGCGCCAGAAACATACCCCCAAACTCGAGGGCTTTCACGTGTCGGGCCCTGGGAGACACTGTTTCGACACTCTTTCGACACTTGTCCAAGTGCTCGAAACATTATTTCTGGGATATGGTCCTTAAGTACGATGGGGGCAACATAACCCTATGGGCGATCTCGGCAGCATCGGCGTGTGCTTTCCCGCTGTGTGCCGGGGCCAGGCGGGGATACTCCCAGGATTCGCTGCGGGCGGCTTCTGGGAACGGCCTCGGCGGTCTCTTGGGGGGGGCGCGGGGGAAGGGGGGGGGGATGCAGAACGAGCGAAATGCGCACGGAAAGAATGGGTACAATGCCCAACAGCGGATCCTGTCCATTTTGAACAGGACTCGTTGTCCACGCCGCCGCGGCCTGTGTCCATTCGAGACAGAAGGCCGCCTGCCCAACAGCGGCCGCTGTTGGTTTGGGATAGCATTTGTTGTTGGGCAGTGTGCCCATTTTTTCTGTACCCATTTCGGGCGCCCAAAGGGGTGCCCGTCCCCGGGACCGTCGACAAAATGCGATGGCAAGGGGGGGGGGAGAGATCATGGCGGGGGGCGTGGTGTCTCCCCAGGTCTCGTGGCGCCTCGTCTTGTTTCAGCACGGCTCCGCCCCGTCCCCAACCACCCGCCCGCCCCCCAGGGCCACGCACCTGCCGCTGGCCATGCTTTGCATCTGCGCAGCCCCGTCTTGGACGCCCCCCTCTTGGACGCCCCCGACAGGAAGAGCAGCCAGCCCTGGGGAAGGAGACGAGATCCCCGAGTCAAGCAGTTGCGAAGCGTCCTGGCTCGCCTGTAGCCCTACCAAACTTTCCAAGAGCCTTTCGAGGTTCCCACGAAGTAGTCTTAGAACATTTCTGTGGGGGACTGTCTCGTTTTAACACATCGGGTTTATGTTCTAAGAACATTGTTTTTGTTCTTAGAACATCTGTGGCTTCTAAGAACATGTCGTGGAAGGACTATCGGAATGCCGGGACGGTCGGCCCCTGCTCAAAACAGGTGGCGACGTCGGAGAAGAGATGGTTCGCGCGCGCGCCCCCCGCAGGTGCTCGGCGACGGGGCGGACCAGCGGGGCTCCTTCCAGGACCCTCCGCGGCCCGACGAGGCACAGCACACCGTCGGGACGGTCGAACTGGGTACGGAAAGAGTGGGCCTCCATGTCCTACCCCTTCCGGCAGCATTTCCGGCCCCTTCTGCCGGAGAAAAAGAAAGAAATGGGTACGAAGGCCGGCAGCATTTCCGCCCTGCCATTTCCGAAAGAAATGGGCACGAAGGCCGGCAGCATCTCCTGGCCATTCTGAGCAGGACACGTTGCCGCTGTCGCCGCAGACGCTGTCCATTCGAGGCAGACGGCCGCCTGCCCAACAGCGACCGCTGTCGGTTAGGGGCAACGTTCGTTGTTGGGCATTGTCCCGCGGTTTCCGTACAGTCGGCCCTGATTGGTAGGTCTACCATGGACCATGCCATAGCGAGGGTATTTGTTGTGTCCCGTCCACCCCGACCTATGCAACCCGCATGTCTGGTGCTCTCCCTCCTCGCCCCCCGCCAAAGCAGAGACGGCAACCGCACGGCCATTCAGAGGGCGGGTTCTCTTGACCAGATGCTGGCCTTCTGCTGGTGTCTTTCGGACGGGGCTAGGACGAGGATAAGTCCGTTCCAAAGCGATCCGGAACGCTCTCAGAGCGTTTTTGGAATACTCTGAGAAGGCCACGGCGCCCGAGACATCCTCCAGAACCGCAGGATCTCAGAGATTCTTGTTTTATCCTCACCCCGGTTTGTCCTCGTCCTGGCTTCGTCTTAACCTTGCTTCCTTCCTCCTTTCCTTCCATCCTCCTCTCTTCCCATCCTCCCCCCCCGCTGCTTTCCCCCTCCCCCCGTCCCGCCTCCCCCCCACACCGCCTCCCACTTCGTCCCTCCACCTCCTCTCCTCTCCTCCCCTCCCCTCCTCCCCTCCTCTCATTCCTCTCCTTCCCTCCCCTCCCTCCTCCGCCGCTACACCCTCCTCTTCTCCCTCCTCTCCCCCTCCTCCCCCTCCCCCTCCTCCTCCCTCTAGGCTTTTGCAAGAAAACGATGCTCTGTGTTCTGCTGCGCCTCTGCAATGTCGCAAGCTTCTTTCGGCTTTTGAGGAGTTCGATCGTTTCATGGCCAACATCGCCCGCTGCAAAAAAGTCCTAGGTTGCCTTGATTCTGATGTGCGTGATTTCTTCAATGGCGGCTTCGCCGTCCTCGCACGTCCTGATGTGGCCAGCATGCTCACTACTATTTACATTCGTGCGAAGGCAGCAATCGCTCGTGCGGAGAATGCCGCGTCCCAGGCTTGGAGGCAATGGGCTAGGGACGCTTTCTCTGCTGGCGCTTCGAAGGCTCACAGGTTCTCAAAAGTGAAGGCCATCCAAGAGGTTTTAAGCAACCAGGCGCGTGAGGCTCCCCACCAGCAGGCCGATGCTGAACTTGTTCCCTGGAAGGAGGTTTGGTTGTCCCACGGTTGTTCCGTTCTCGAGTTTCCTCGAGGGTCCAGCTGGCCCATGCTGCCGCCCATCGCGGCCTCTCAGGTGTAGGATGCTGTTCACACTTACCCCATTCGCACTGCTGGAGGCATGATGGGTATTCATCCGAGAGCCTTAATACACTTGCCTAGACAGGCCTTCTCGGCGATTGCTGAACTCTTTAACCTGTGCGAGTTGCACTTAGCCTGGCCTAGAGAGCGTGTTTGTAACGAGATGTGTCGTCTTGCCAAACCAGATGGTGGGACTCGACTGATCGCTCTCGTCTCTTTGCTGTGCCGTGTCTGGGGCAAAGTTCGCAAGCCCATCACCTTTGACTGGCAAGAGCGTAATGACTGCCACGCTGTTTGGGGGACTCGTCGGGGGCACAGCTCCTCAGACAGTGCTTTTGCCCACAACATTGCTGCCGAGATGGCTGCGCTTGTCGGTGATATTTCAATTTCCGTCCTCCTAGACATGATCAAATGCTTCGAAATGGTTCACTCGGAGCAGCTGTTGAAAGAGGCTGAAGCGTTGCACTTTCCAATGCGGCTAGCTTGGATGTTGGTGGATCTGTACAGGCAGCCACGGCGTCTTCGAGCTTTCGGCAGCCTGTCGGTGCAGTTCTGTTCGCATCAAGGCATCCTTGCTGGGTGCAATCATGCGACAGGCATGCTTTTCCTTCTCACGCTGCGTGCTGTGCGTAGGCTCAATGACATTTCGCCCTGTATAACACCGAGAGCCCTAGTCGACGACATCTCGATTCAGCTCGTCACTTCGGATCCTCGTGATGTGCGTTTCCTGGAGCGTGCTGTGAAAGTGTTCACCGAAGATGCCAAGGTCCTCGGGCCCCACTCCCATGTCAAAAAGTCGGGGCTCATAGCTGGGAACAAAGTTGCTCGGACGGTTTTCTCGAAGATGGCTATTCGGCTGCATCTACCTGTTCGTAAATGGATGAGAAATCTCGGGCATGAATTAGCTGCTGGTCGGGTTGTTCGCACGCAGGAGAAGAAAAGGCTACATGTTCTCAAACGTCGTCGTGACAAGTTCGTTGCGCTGAAACATGCAACTGGCAAGCGTGCAACCCGACTTTGGAGGACTGGAGCTCTCCCAGCAGCTGGACACGGTGGCTCCGTGTCGGGCATCTCAGACACTGCGCTGAAGTATTTGAGGCAGCTTGCGGCTACGATCGCAGGGGCCAAGCAGCACGGTGGCATCACCTCGTATCTGCTGACGCAGGCCGATCCGCAATACGAGCCGATCTACGACTCCACTACTTGTGTGTGTGTCAAGTTCGCCACGTTCGTCTGGGACGGAAGGGTTCAGTTGTCGAGACTTCAACGTGCTTGGACCTGTTTGAGAGACATCATGTCCGACAACCCAACCTGGCAGCAGGCTCGAGGTCCGCTGTCGGCGGTGTGGCCCAGCCTGCTTCGCATAGGCTGGACGATGGTCAATGCCCACACTCTTCGCAGCGATCTTGGTACAGATATTTCGCTGCTGGTGGTGTGTCCTAGTGATGTGCGTATTGCGATTATCGAAGGTGTGCAGCGGTGGCAGATACGTCGGTTGCAGCAGCACCTCTATAACACTGACCCTCCAGAAGGGGAGCCTTGGTTTCGTGCACTACGTAATGGTATACGTGCTGTAAAAGACCAGCGGGCTCTTGGGGCCCTGGCTGCCGTCTGGGGGAATGTGGTTCCGCTACCTGCTGCACTATCTGCTCTGCAATATGATGTACCACCCGTGTGCCTCGCCTGCTCCGCTCCTCAAGGTACGTACGGACATGTGTGGTATGCCTGCTCTAAGTTCATCACCGACGACGGGGTTGACGCGTTGGGTGACGAGGTTCCTGAGGCCCTGGCTAAGCATAGGCGCGTGTTGATCGAGTCTCGGGCCTCGATAACTGGGGAGCCCGATGTACACTCTAATTATTTAACTTATGGCATCCCTCCTTTGCCCACTAATATTCCCGCTCCGCTAGCCAACCCACCTATTTTTGAGTTCGGGGACGTCTCTGGGTCCTGGGGCCCTCAGTCTTTCACTGGCGGTAGTTGCTTTCACTCTGGGGTCCCAGAGGTCTCCAGAGCTGGTTGGAGCGTGGTGCAGTTATTTGATTGTCTGCTTCCCCTGAGGGCCGTATATGGAGCGCTCCCAGGTGAGCGTCAGACCATAGGTCGTGCTGAACGTTGGGCTGTGCGGCAGGGTCTGGCATTTCACCCGCAGCATCAGAGTATTGTTTCGGACCTCCAGGCGGTTGTGCGTGAAGGCAACTCTTGGAGCCTGCATCTTTCCCAAGGCATGTCCAAGCATGCCTCGATCTGGAGGTCCATATTTGACCTTAAGTCTAATCACCCCCAGTTCTCTTGGTTCCCAGCCCATCTGAGTTTTGATGACGTGTTGGAGCGTGGGCTGTGTGTCAAAAGTTGGGCCGGGAACCTGTGGGCTGATTTTTTCGCCAAACTAGGGGCTAGCTCTCACACGCTGGCTGAAGGTTTTTGTGCGGCGGTGTCAGGTGAATTAAAATATCATAAGTCCACGGTGCGGTTCATTGCATGGGCTGCTCAACGTTTGCTTGAGTCTGGCACATGGACACAAGTTGACCCTGATCGTCCCCTCCGCCTCTTGAGAGCCCCTGCCCCTCCTAAGGTCACGGTCACTAGCCATGTGTTATTTCGCTGTGAGACCACCAGCACCTATAAATGCAGGAGCTGTGGCCGTGTCGCTCGCACTTTGGAGTCGCTTAAGAGCCTGCTCACGAGCAGAGACTATCGTGACTGTTCTCCCTCTCCGATCCAGCGACACGTGTGCGACCAGTGGTTTCGTGAGTTTGGGGCGGCTTCTAGGCCCGTGCAGCTGGAAGCGGTGAGGGTTGCTCTGGCTGCCGCTGACGAAGCTCAGCGCGTGTGCATTGATGAGGTCCAAGGTCCCCCGACTCCTGTGGCTGAGCCCGAGCCGTCGGACGAGTTTTCTGCTTTTCGGGACCTGGGGCACGACGTTTTTCGTCACCTGCATGTGTACTGTTGCAAGCTGTGCGGGGCTCACGGCTCTCTTGGCTCGCTGCGAAACCTCACGCAGCAATGCAAAGGGAGGTCCAAAGTCCCGAGCACTGCTGCCAATCAGAGAATGTCGATTAGACGGCTGGAGCGTGGGTGTCACCCCAGAACGGGCGCGAAGATTGCTGGGGCCGCTGAGCGCGACGATGACCGCGCGGAGCTCCGCCGTGCTTCATCTTTGAGGCTGCTGGAAGCGGCCAGTGCGCCTGAACCTGCTCCCGATGGAGCGAGCTCAGGGTCTGACTAAACTCGTTTGGTTTTTTCTTGGGCCGCCCTTGTAGTCTGTCGCCCGTCGCCTCCCCCTCCCCCGCCGCATACGCGTGCCTCTTCCTGGTGTTCTCGGCGCTGGGGAGGCTGGCGTGCGACGTGGCCAGGCAGGCGGGGCGGCCCTCCCGCTCGGCCCACGCCCTTGTGTGCGCTGGGCGCTGTTTGTACCGGACCACCAGCTCGAGGCTTGCCTCTTGCTGGTGGCGTGCGGTCCGCGCCTCCTCCTCTCCTCCCTCTCTCTCATCGCTCCTCCTCCGCCGCTCCTCCGACCCTCGCCTCCCCCCCCGCCCCTTCCCGACGCCTCCCCTTCCCCGGGGTCGAGTTAAAGGGTGTTTGGGCGGTTTCGTGGGCGGCTTGCGTTTCGATCTTGCTTTGCAGCAGAGGCGGATCGAAGACAAAGCGAGGGAAAACGAAAACAAAGCGAAGACGAAAAGGACTGTTTAGTCGATGGCGTACAAAACGCCCCGAATTTCCCCGGTCGACGAGGCGCTGAACCTCCTGTGGGCTGACCGGGCAAACCCTGCGTATCACGCGTTTCGCGCGGCGTCCTGGCGGTTCTCTTTCTCTCTCTCTCTCTCTCTCTCTCTCTCTCTCTCTCGCCTTTGGAGATTTCCAAGGAGGCCTACAAACCACGCACTTGTAACCCAAGGTAGGGGCGCTTTTTCATCCTTCAATTTATCGGCGACGAGCGAGGGGGGAAAGTGAGAAGGCGCGAGGACTTCTCAGAAGTCCCGCCGCGTTCTGAGAGGGCCTTCTCCTTCTCACTTCCCCCCTCGGCGCGCTGTCATTTTTTCTCTCTTGTCATAACTCGGGCCTCCGGCGGCAGTTCGGGACGATCCGTGCACCCCTGGGGCACCCCTGAAACGATCTCGGCAGGGCGCAACCGCTGGAACGCATCCCGGGGCTGGAAGACCGCCGAGAACCAACGAAAGCTCCAGAAACACAACGAACCTCGAGCACGAAACTTCTCTCCCTCGCTCGCCGCCGAATTTAAGTCGATCCCATCCCCACCCCCCCTGGCGCAGGACGCGGAGCGGCTCAGGTTCGACTTCAGCGCCGGCAAGGTCACGACCGCGCAGGTGCAGAGGGTGGAGGCCGGCTGGCGCCCAGCCCTCCGCGGCCGCCGGCGGCGGGTAGGAGGGAGTGGGCGAGGAAGAGGAGGAGGAGGAGGAGGAGGAGGCGGAGGAGGAGGAGGAGGAGGAGGCGGAGGAGGAGGAGGAGGAGGAGGAGGAGAAGTTGGAGGAGGAGGAGGAGGATGGCACCGGAGGCGGAGGATGAGGAGGGGGAGGAAGAGAGAGAGAGAGAGAGAGAAAGAGAGGGATCGGGGAGGAGGCGGGGGGGGGCAGGACAGGACGAGGAAGGAGGGGATGATGATGTGAAGGAGGATGCCGAGAAGGAGGCAGAAGGGGGGGAGGGAGACAAATGGGATACAGGGAGCACACCCTCCGACCCGGAGCCCCTTTGTGAGTGACGAGCGCCCGGTGGGCCTGCCGTGGTGCATGCGAAATCCCGCCTCGTGAGGGATCCACCCCCCATCCGTCGAGCTACGCAGAAGACACGCAGAGAGGCGGGTTGATCAAGTTCAGGGAAGTGGAATGGTGATGGTGATGGTGGTGGTGATGGTGGTGATGATGATGTTGATGCTGATGCTGATGCTGATGATGCTGATGATGATGATGATGATGATGATGATGATGATGATGATGATGATGATGATGATGATGATGATGATGATGATGATGGTCATGGTCATGGTCATGGTCATGGTCATGGTCATGGTCATGGTCATGGTCATGGTCATGGTCATGGTCATGGTCATGGTCATGGTCATGGTCATGGTCATGGTCATGGTGATGGTGATGATGAGGAGGAGGAGGAAAAGCGACAAAGATGAATGCGAAGGAGAAGGGGGTCGGGGAAGGGGGATGAGGAGGTGGGGGTGAAGCACATGGAGGATGGGAGAGGTGGGAGGAGGAGGAGCGGAGGGCGAGGACGAGAACTCTCCGACCGCGAGCGCCCCCGGGGCAGCCGCAAGCCCGGGAGCACGCCACCGCCCAGCGGCGGCGCGGCCTTGCCGTGCGTTCGCCTCTCCCCGCCGTCACCCGCCTTCTCGGCCGTAGTGGGCCCTGGAAACGACAGGGCCGTTTTTTATTGGTTCCGTTTTGCCGTTTTTTACCGGTTCCGACGTTGTTTTTTTACCGGTTCCGTCGCCGTTTTTTTACCGGTTCCGGCTCCGTGTCCAATCCTGGAGCCGTTTTTTTGGCCGTTTCCGGTCGCCGTTTTTTTGCCGTTTCCATTTCCAAGGGGCATTTTTTTCGGAAACGGTGAAAAAACGGCCCTGCCGTTTCCGGGGCCCACAAAGTTCTCGGCGGCCGAGAGGGTCGACGGCGCGCTGCAGAGCGAAGCGCAGGTCTGGTATGCCCATGGCCGAAATCGGCGGCGCGATCCGAAACTTGCCCTCGCCGATCAACGATTCGGGCAACTCGATGGGCGGCGGCGGAGGGTTCGGAACTTGCGGAACCCTACCCTGGCCTCCCATCGATTCAGGTGGGGGTAGGGTTCGGATGTCGCCACCTACGGAAGCCGTCCTAATTCTGCTTAGTTCGAGTTTTTATGGCTTCATCCCGGGGTAGGGTTCGGATGTCGCCACCTACGGAAGCCGTCCTAATTCTGCTTAGTTCGAGTTTTTATGGCTTCATCCCGCTTGATCTGGCTTGATGGTTCTGGCTTAAGAGCTCTTAATCGTTCTTGCGAAGACCTTCAGGAGGTGCCCGCTAAGCCCCGCGCCGGCTCGTGAGGCGGATCCCTTCCCCCGCCGTTGCCGCGACCCGACGCCAGGGGCCCTCCCCGGACGGGGCTAGGACGAGGTTAGATCCGTCCCGGAGCGTTCCAGAACGCTCTCGGAGCGTTTCGCACCGCTCTGAAAAGGCCGCCAGCTCTCAGAGATTCTCGATTCGTCCTCGCCCAATGTTATCCTCGTCCTAGCGTCGTCTTACCCCCTAAGCGCCCTGGGCCACTCGCGGTCACCGACGGCCTGCCACCCGCCGGCGGTGCCATCCACGGCTTGGGGCCGATGCTGCTGCTGCTGCCCGTCGTGGCAGCTGCTGCCGCTGCCTGCCAGCAGGGCCGCGGCCCTGGCCTGGCCTGCGAGGACGCCACGGCGCTGCGACGTGCCGTGCCACTTGCTGCCGCTGCTGCCTCTGGGCGCGAGTGCCCAGGCTGGCCTCCAGCCCCGGGCCCCGCCCGGGTCGAGGGATGCGCCGCGTCCGCGGGACCCCCAGGCGTCTCGGGCCGGAAGAAAGGGGGGGATTGGGAAAGGGGGGGTACGAAATTTGCTGCACGCAGCTGGTTTTGGCCCCACCGAGGGGCCCGTTCCTCGATACAGAGTCGCCTTCGGCGCCGGGAGGCGCCGGGAAAATCAGCTGCGTGAGCTGACTCTCAAACCCCTCCTTTGCTATCAATCTGCGATGCATCGCTGATTCCAGGTCGATGTTTCCCCCCCTGAGCTGGTCCCCCCCTACCGTCGCCACTAATTTGCAGCGCCTCCTAGATCCCACGGCGTCGGCTCGAAATCCACCGTCGTGGCTCACCCAGTCCAGGCTCGCAGGTGAGAGCCCCAAGCAGGCTGTCGTGCGTCATGGAGGCACCGCCTCTGGCACGTTCCAAGACACCCGCGCGGACCCAACCATATGCAGCTGTGGGCACCACAATTGTGAATCTCTTCTTTGGTGAAGCTCCCTGTGGGGCCACGGAGCGCTGCACTGGGTGGGGGGAACGCCTGCGGGTGGTAGCACTGGGGCCGTCGGTGGAGCTCCCTATGGGGCCACGAAGCTTGCAATGGGGGGATACGATTGAACAAATCGCCCCCCCCCCCCCCCCCGGACCCCCTAAAATGATTGAGTGGGGCTGACTAGTAGAATTCAGCCGCCAGAGTATGTTTTTTTTTTAACGTCCGCCCCCCGGCGTTTGTTTTTGCCCCTTTGGGGAAACTGATTTTCTATTCGTCCTCCTTCGCTCGTTTGATCACCCGCGGCCGCGGGGGGCGGATTGCGGAGGGGGGACGGGGCAATTAGGGAGTAGTTGAGGGAAGGGGTTTTCGAAGACGCGCTTGATCACCCTTGTCCTTGCGGACGGCCGCCGGTCGTCCTTGCGGACGGCCGCGGGTATTGGGAGGTGGGGGCAAGGGCACAAGGAGGAGGAGGGGGACGAGGACTGCGGACTGCGGCGCGCGGCGACGAGGAGGAAAAAAGGCGAGACAGCGAGAGGGCCACCCTAGTCCTTGCGGACGGGGGAGGGGGGGACGAGGAGGAGGAAGCGGAGAAAAAGGAGGAGGAGGAGGAGGACGAGGAGGAGAAGGACGAGGCAGAGGAGGAGGAGGAGCAGGACAAGGAGGAGGAGGAGGAGGACGAGGAGGAGGAGGAGGAGGAGGAGGAGGAGGAGGAGGAGGAGGAGGAGGAGGGCGAGGAGGACGAGGAGGACGAGGAGGACGAGAAGGAGGCGGAGGAGGACGAGGACGAACTCGCTATGAAAAATCACCCCGTCCACCCCCCTGGCCCCTACGCTCTGGATCGCCGCCCCGTGCCCCCTCCTCCCCCCTGGCCTTCCAGGCAACCCAGAATTGTCAGCCCCCCGTCTGTCTGCCCTGCCCCCCCCGCTATTGCGGGGGCGAGGAGGCCCGCGAAACAATTGTTTGAATCGTCCGCCCCAGACAGTTAGTTGTTTTTTCTTCATTTTTTTGAAGAACGAAAAAAACGCTTCCCCCCATTACTGGGTGGGCGAAAATGCCCAATTGGGCTTCCGGGACGCATGCGCACGGTCCCGCTGGGGGTTTCGGTGAAGTTCCGGGTGGGGCTACGCAGCGCTGTAATGGGTGGGTGAAAATGCCCATTTGGGTTTCCAGGGCGCACGCGGACGGTCCCATTAGGAAAGAGCTTCCGGGACGCACGCGGACGGTCCCATTGGGGGCTTCGGTGCAGCTCCGAATGGGGCCACGAAGCGTTGCGCTGGGCGGGCGAAAGTGCCAAATTCGGTGTGCGGGACGCATGCGGACGGTCCCACTGGGGGCTTCGGTGGAGCTTCCTATGGGGCCACGAAGCGCTTTACTGCGTGGGTGAAATTGCCAAATTGGGTGTGTGGGGCGCATGTGGGCGGTCTCACTGGGGGTTTCGGTGGAGCTTCTTGTTGGGGCCACGAAATTGTGTATTGGGCGAGTGAAACTTGTCAAATCGCGTGTGCGGGACGCATGGTGGCCACCCCCACTGGGGCCTTTGGAGGAGCCCCCTATGGGGCCACGAAGCGTCGTTCTGGGTGTGGCGAACGCATGTGGCCACCCCCACTGGGGCCTTTGGTGGAGCGCGCTATGGGGCCACGAAGCGCTGTACTGGGTGTGGCGGACGCATGTGGCCACCCCCATTGGGGCCTTGGTTGAAGTTTCCTATGGGGCCACGAAGCGGTTCGTTGTAGTGGGTGTGGCGGACGCATGTGGCCACCCCCATTGGGGCCTTCGGTGGAGCTCACTATGGGGCAACAAATCGTCGTATTTGGTGTGAGGGACGCATGTGGCCACCCCTACTGGGGCCTTGGGTGGAGTTCCCTATGGGGCCACGAAACGCCGTACTGGGTGTGGCGTTCGCATGTGGCCACCCCCGCTGGGGCTTTGAGTGGAGCTCCTTATGGGGCTACGAAGCGCCATACTGGGTGTGGCGGACGCATGTGGCCACCCCCACTGGGGCCTCGGGTGGATTTCGCTATGGGGCCACGAAACGTTGTATTGGGTGTGGCGGACGCACGTGGCCACCCCCAGTGGGGTTTTAGGTGGAGCTCCCTATGGGTCCACGAAGCGCCGTACTGGGTGTGGCGGACGCATGTGGTACATCCCAACGCAACGCTGTACCAGGTGTGGCGGACGCATGTGGTACCCTTATTGGGGGGGGCACGGGAGGAGGGGACGCGTGGATCGTTTCTTCAAAACGAGGACCCAAAACCACAGGATGGTTGGGAAACAAAAGTAATCATAAACGTCCAACGGTCCGCGCGAGTTTTTGTTGATCAGCGCTGGAGTCCTGTGGCTGCGCCTCCGGCGCCGCCGCTGGCG